AGTGGTCGTTAACACAATGTTCATTAACTGAAACACTGTGGGCAGTCTTTCCAAAGTAGTTGTTCTTCAGAGGCTGGTTGGGCGTCAGTCTGCTAGTGCAAGGTGGTGGGTGATTGCCTTTGCACCACTTGGTTTTTCTCTTTTCTTCCTTCCCCTCTTAGACTGGCCTGATCTCAACCCAAGGGTATTTTGCTTTCTTGCTTTTCCAATTCTGCCCCATCCCACTGGGACAGCAAAGTGATAGAACAGCTGGGAGGTGCTTAGTATTAGTCAGAGGCAATACACCACACAGGCCCACGGGCAGTGCATGCCCTCCTTGCCCTGCTCCTTCCCTCTCTGTGCCCAGGCTTTCCTGGGAATGTTTCTGCAGAGAGGGGAGCAGGGAGAGACCCGCGCCAGGAAGAGAGGCAGCGGGTGTGGGCTGAGTGTCTCAAAGGGCTGTCCAAGAGCTCTCCAAAGCAGTGCGCAGACCAGCAGCAAAGGCTGCGGAGAGACTTGCCGCCGGCAAAGGGGAGCAGCTGAACTGCTGCAGGACACAATTGGGCACGATGGCACATGTCCACCCAGAGCCCCGAATGACAGCTGGCTTGGTAGTCACCAGCCCTGTCTCTCCACAAATTCTTCAGCCCCTGACAAGCCACAGACCAAAAGCAGGGCCAGGGAAAGGTGCTTTTGTGGTAACCCCATCAAAACAAGTGTGACTCCTAGCACTGTTCCTGGAAACCAAGGACTGTGATCAACATCCTGGGCTATATGAGCAGGAGCGTAGCCAGGAGATCGATGGGAGCAATGATCTTCCTCTGCTCAGCACTCACCTGAAGGCATCTAGAACACTGTGTTAATACAAGAAAGAAGTAAAGCAAGGAAGACCTTGATCAAGTGGAGTGAGTTCAGCAGAGGTGTCCGGGATGGTGAGGGACCACTTGGCTGGGGAGGAGAGGCTGAGGGCACAGTGCTTGCTGAGTGTGAAGAGAAGACTTTGGTGGGAGACCTAAGACCAGCTTTGGAGTAGCTATGGTGAGGTCCCCCAGAAGACAGATCCAGGTTCAACACTGTGGCAGCGCATGGTTGGAGGACTAGAGACAATGGGCTCACATTGAAAGATGAGAGGTTTGGACCTGATAGGAGGAAAATGGTTTTCATCACGAGGAGAGTCAAGCAGTGGAACATGTTGCCTCGGGAGGCTGTGCAGTAACCCTCCATGGACTCTTGTGGCTGACTGAGCTTGGAGCATGGGGTTGGGCCCAATGACCTTTGGAAGTCCTTTCCAGCTTGATTATGCTATGATCCTATGGTCCCAGGACGGCCTTTTTGTGCCTGTGCCTACTGGGGATAGGGCCAGCAATGAGGAGGAGGGGCTCAGCTTCCCAGCTGAGGAGACAAGCAGTGTACAGCTCTCCTGAATGCTCTGTGGAAGGAAAAAAAAAATTGCAAAAAGCATCTCTGCACCAGCTAGAAGACCACAAGACCTGTGGACCCCAGCTGTTGGGACAATGTTTTTCCAAAGACTCTGTGGCATTATTTTCCCTTACTGTTCTCATGCTTTTACTTTCCACCTGGTCTTCTCATCCTGCAACTCTAAATCTCAATGCTGTGGTTAGGACAGGTTCTCCTAGGTTTTCCTGGGAAGGTACTGCCTCTGCCTTGTCAGTAACACATTCATCCTTCCTCCTCCTGACTACTTACTTCACAATGTTGAGCTTACCAAGGAAAAAGAAAAGCTGTACACAACAAATTTATGGTAGTGACTGAACTACATTGGGTGATTCTATCCTGATATACCACACATAGGCAGAGAAGTTTAGAAACCAGAGGGTACACCCAACTCATGACTAAGCATACCCAATGCAAACCTGTGTTGACAATTGCTGCACAACCATCCCCAACACCCCCCTCCCAGAATCACCCCTGAGCAACATCTCTCTCCTTGGGCATCTTGGCAAAGTGTCTGCAGGGGAAAGGACGAGACAAAGGCATGGGCTGGCATGCAGCAGAACTTTAATGACTCAAAAGAGGGAAACAAGGTTGCTCCAAGTGGAGACCCCAGTGCAGGGAGCACCAGGGGCAGAAAGGAGCCTGCACCCCACCAGGTCTCCATCTACCTGCCCCAGAGACAGAGCAGGGCCTGCAGTTCTGCCCTAGGCTGGCTTTATGGGGCTCACAGCCCACGGGAGCACAAGAGAACAAGAGGGGAAACGAGAGAGCGGAAGAAGGGAAAGGCAGGCATGGGCCATGCTTTCGGAGAGCCCAGGCTGGCCCCATCGTTTTGCAAGGGGTGCTGGCGTTGCTCACTTCCTCAGGAAAGAAGTCGATGCTCTGTCCCCAGTCCGGTACCATCTTGTGGGTCCCTGGGGGCCTTCCCCAGGGCCATCGCCAGCAGCTTTAGCAGGGGAGGCAACTCCTGCTGCAGTAGCGGCTGCCAAATCCCGAGAGGCCAAAGCCCCTCCGGGCAGGGTCACCACCACAGCAGGAGGCTCAATGACAACGGTGGAGTCCTGGCACTGCCTGACACAGGGCTCATTGCAGCTGTTGGCCAGCGGGGTGGGGCCGCAGGGCTGGCAGGGCAGGCACGGGTTGTAGCAGGACATGTCTCGGGGCTGGAGGTGCACCTGGCAGAGAGGGCAGAGCAAGGGAGATGTGTGAGAAGCAGCCTGTCACCCCACTACGAGGGACCCAAGGCACAAACTGGAGATGAGAGTTGAAGGCTGTGTAGGGAGGCCCACAGACTTCTCCTTTCCTTCAGAAGACCATGCAAGACTGACCAAGCCCAGGGAGATCCACACTTACCCAAAGCCCAGGAGACACCTCAGCCAAGTCCCAGCCTCCCTCCATGTCACAACTTCTACCCCTTTCCCTCTAGCACAGTTAGCAGCTCCGAGACTTCGCATGGGACAAAGGGGCTGATATGGGCTGAGAAATGCCAGAGGATGAGGAGAAGGAGAAAGGGCTTCAGACTCACCTTTTTCCCAAGGAGATGGAGGCGAGAGGAGTGGATGAGAGAGTGAGGAGAAGGGCCTGCTTTTATACTGCTCCTGCACTGCCCCAGGCCCACAGTCACTGCACGCGGGCACTAATTTTCCAACAGACTCACCTCCCAAGCAAAATATGCTACCTAATGGCACAGGTTGTGTTTTGGTTTCCGTCAATGCTGCCATTACATTTCCTCATTTCTGACAATCCCACTAGGCCACAGAGTCTCCTTTCAAGTACCGGGATGAGAAGCCCAAGCATTTCCCATACAGGAACACATCAGTACAGGCAAAAGACAACCCCCAAGTGAAGCCCTGTGGACTTGGGTTCTTCCTTAGTACCTGTGGGGTGTGTTGGTGCTTGGGACAATATCTTGTTCCTCCCATTCTCCTCATACCACCTTGCACTTTGGCTGCATGATTTGGAACCTGGCCATCAAGGGATACAATGGCCTGGCCCCTTTTCCAAACACGCTGCCCATCCTGCGAGCCCCCTGAGGTGTGGGAGTGCCAGCAAGAAGGTTATACTGAGAGCGATGACCATTAGGGCTTCCTGGAGCTGTGTACTTGGCTACAGCACAGTGATCGGAGATGGTGTTCCCTGGTCAGGGATGGAACTGCCCTTACCAGAAAGGAGTTCAGCCCTGCATGGTACACGAGCCTACAGACTATGCATACTCCTGGCTTGGCCTCACACCAAAAGGCTGACACATGGCCATTCCGAAATTAGAGTGTGACTCGCCATGAGTAGGGAGAGTCTATCCCAGGAAGCTTGCCTACTGAAGGCATTCCCTTACCCTCCTGGGCCGTGTCCCAGCTGCCTCCGTGTCTGCAGGGCAGGGAAGTGCATTGCCTCCTTGATGTAGTCTGAGAGCTGGTTTTGTAGCCAGGGCCCTTCTGACCACATTGTCTCCCTGAGGATTCTCAGGCATGTGGCACTGCAGGGTCCTGCGAGCCCTCACTCCTTGGGGAGTTGGAGGAACTTTTCTTGCCTCTCCAATGATGCCGGATTGTGCTTCAGGCTGAGGAAGCCTTTGGGTCATGGGAGGGGTGGTGTGCCCTAATGCCAGGAGAAGATGTATTGCCTAGGACCCAGGGATGCATCCCAGCCAGAGGTGAAATGTTTTCTGCAACCCTTTCTTTCCCTCCACGGAGCACTGAGGAGTGCTCCTCAC